GCTGCGCCGCCCCCGCCGCCGCCGGGCCCCTCCTCCTCGCCTCGGCGTCCGCCTGGCCCTGCGCCGTGTCCCGCTCCCCCGCCAGCACGGCGTTAACCTGGAGGCAGCTGCTCACCAGCTGCACGGCCGTCAGCGTGGCCACCTGGCGGAACTCACGCACCGCGGAGCTGCGGAGTGGTGGGGCCCGCGGGAGGGGGCATGGGTCATCAGACAGGGCAGGCCAGGGGTTCGGGGCATGGGACTGCGACACACAGCGGCCGCACCGGCCGCAGCACAGGCCAGCGTCATGCCTGGCCTCGCAGTCAACTGCACCAGGCGTGCACACCCGAGCAGCCTGCCAAGCACCCGGGGCGACGAACAGCGCACGTGTTGAGGGAGATGACGAGGGCAGTGATGTGGTCCATGAGGTACTGGTCGAAGAGCTGGGCCTTGGCCCCCGACTATAGGAGGAAAGGAGGGCGAGGGATTCTTTTCTTGGGGGGTGGGGGGGGGTCCGGCCCACACTGCCTCAACTGCCTCACAGGCCAGCCAGGAGCCAGGTGGCACAACCCTGCGGCATGCACCCTGACACTCTGGCGCTGCGATGAATCATGCGGAAGCTGCGGAAGCTGGTTCGAGGGCCGTGGCCCGGACCGCGGCGTCGCGGTCCGACAGCGCCCAGGCCACGTACTTGAGGTAGGTGTCGGTCATGTAGGTGGCGGGGGCCAGCAGAGCCCAGGCCCCCACCCCGGCCACCGTCGTGGACCGCACCGCCGGGCACACATCCCTGCGGGGGGGGGGGGGAGGGGGAGGTATTGGGATCTGACGGGGAGGGGTGCCAAAGCTGCATAAAGAGGCGTGGGTGGATGGAAGAGAGGTGCGGGGAGGTGGACGGGCGCGAGGGTGGGCGGCCGTCGCGGCAGCCCCTCTGTGCGGCACCGCGCAGACTTCCCCACCAGGACGCGCCACACCCCACGCGTCACCTGAAGCGGTGCGCAAAGACGCCCTGGAAGAGGGCATCGCAGTACGCCGCCAGCTCGCCGACGCGGGAGTGCGCGGCGCCGGCGGCGCGGCGGAAGGCGGCGGCGCGCTGCGCCGCCCCCGCCGCCGCCGGGCCCCTCCTCCTCGCCTCGGCGTCCGCCTGGCCCTGCGCCGTGTCCCGCTCCCCCGCCAGCACGGCGTTAACCTGGAGGCAGCTGCTCACCAGCTGCACGGCCGTCAGCGTGGCCACCTGGCGGAACTCACGCACCGCGGAGCTGCGGAGTGGTGGGGCCCGCGGGAGGGGGCATGGGTCATCAGACAGGGCAGGCCAGGGGTTCGGGGCATGGGACTGCGACACACAGCGGCCGCACCGGCCGCAGCACAGGCCAGCGTCATGCCTGGCCTCGCAGTCAACTGCACCAGGCGTGCACACCCGAGCAGCCTGCCAAGCACCCGGGGCGACGAACAGCGCACGTGTTGAGGGAGATGACGAGGGCAGTGATGTGGTCCATGAGGTACTGGTCGAAGAGCTGGGCCTTGGCCCCCGACTATAGGAGGAAAGGAGGGCGAGGGATTCTTTTCTTGGGGGGTGGGGGGGGGTCCGGCCCACACTGCCTCACAGAATCAAGAGGCCAGCCAGGAGCCAGGTGGCACAACCCTGCGGCATGCACCCTGACACTCTGGCGCTGCGATGAATCATGCGGAAGCTGGTCGCTGCGATTCCCCTGGCTCATGCGGGTCCCGGCTTCAGGCCTGGGGAATCAGTCGTGCCACACACCTCTCGGACCAGGGCCGACCAGAACTCCAGGTATGACGCACGGAATGCACGCTGCCCCTTGGCCTGGAACTGGGGGCTGAGACCGAGCTGCGAGGGGGATGGGTGCGTGGTGGGTCCCTTGCTGTCTCCATACCAGCCACGCATTCATCGTCATGCAGTTTCCATGCTGGACGTCATCGGAGCTGCACACAAACATGTGTGGCCTGAGGACCCACATCCTTCCCATGCCGCACCTGCATGGCGGTGTCGTCCGCTCGCTTGCGAGTGTCATCGGCAGACCCCTGCTCAACGTCCTGCACCGTCAGGTTGACGCCGAACACGCCACATGCCTGTCGTGGGGGGTGGCTGTATGCGGTGAGGGAAACCTGTGCCCTGGCAGCAGGCAGTTGACCAGTGCGTTTGTCTTCCTGGGAAGGACTATTTGAGCACGAGGCCATGTGCAGCAGGTCGCTACCTGGAGCAGGAAGTTGAGCAGCTCTGCCGTGGCCGTTCTGCGGTCTGCTGTATACCGAGTGGTCCAATCCCGAGCAGCATCTGCGGCAGCACTGGGCTGTCGGACAGCTTCTGCAAAGGGTGCATGGAGAGGGCATGGGGACCAGCATTGGATTGGACACATTCTTGCTTCAAGAGCATGCAAGCTGGCTCGAAGGGCCGCCATAGCGCTCATTTGCATGACACTCTCGCGCACCCAGGAGTGAGCCAGCTGCAAGAGCCACAGTCGCCTTGGCTGCCGTCTGTCGCGCCGCTGCTCGCGCAGCAGGCCGGCGAGCTGACGGCGCGAGGGCTCCCCTGGTCTGCATAGTGCAAGATTGCATCGTTTGAAATCATGAAGTCTATCCTGAGCACCTCTGCGCACCTCGCGCACACGTGCAGGTGCCTCACCTTGGACCGACTGCCCGGGGCTGGTGAGTACACCTGCTGCTCGGCCTCGCTGCCAGAGCTGCCCGACCTGCACGACATCGTGAGAGGTGTCAATGCTCATGTCTCATTGAGATTCTCACCACATCACCCGCATGCCAACTCACTCATCGCTGCTCTCTTCGTAATGTACTGCTGCACTCCGAGTCCGTGTCCGAGCCATTGCGGAGGCAAGGCAGGAGAACGTCACACTGTGTGGTACCTGCGCGTCTGAGTAATTACAAGCATGTTGATGCCAAGGCGGCACGCATGCGTCCGGGTCATGAGAGGCATGCTTCCGATGTCGCGGGTCTTGATCCGCCGGGTCTCATTTGAAAATTTCAAAGTGGCGCGCTCTCGCACCTGGGGAATCGATGGTTCGTCAAGATGATTGTTGAAGCAGGATCTCAACGTACACTAGAGCTATCAACTGGCAGATTGCTGCGGTTAATGCAATTTTGGTGAGGGGCTGCCAAACTTCACGAGGTTGTTAACTTACACAAGATTTTGGGGAATGAAACCATGGGAGGTGTCCGACATAATGCCCTCATGCGGTGAGGATATGTTGTGAAGCTTCCATGGAGGCGACAGGCAAAGGATCTTGCCTGGCACCATGTATCACAGCAGTGTTGCAGAACACACAGTCTCAGCTATTCCCACAGCACTTTCTTTTCACTCAAGAGCCTCTGCAGCAGGTGACTGAAGCCTTGCAACAATGTTACAACTGGGGACCGATCAGGAATGTAGTGAAAGAGCACCAGCATTGGCACCACGGACACTCGCGAGACTGGAGCAATGCAGGACTGGGTTGGACTGGATGCACAGTGGAAGAAGGGGCTGGGTGAGCAGGCTCCAAGGCAGGACGGCTGGGATCTGGACGACCACAGGTTACGGATTAAATGAGAGGGGATTCTTGTGCAGAGATTCAACCAGACAGAACATCGACCTACTGATGAGACATATCGGGAATGAGGTTGCGTGGGTTGCTCAGGCACGCCTTGGCATGGCTGTTGCCTGGTGTTGAGGGTGGGCTGGGGTTCGTGCAGAAGAGGGATGTGTGAGTTTACCTTTGAGGGGTGCTATGGTATTGCTCAGCACACCGCAGTCTGGTCGCTCCATTCTGGTTGGCCGGTGACAAGGCGGCGGAGCGCTGACGGCGGCTGCCCTGCTGTGCTGCTGGCAGCTTGCCGTCAGGTGCAGCACCGGCCGAGATCGCGCAGAGGCGTCCCTCCGCACAGGTGTCCGGGGCGAGGAGGGTTGCTCGGCGTGCAGCTTCCCCTCCGCCTCCACCTCCCGTGACTTTGGAGGCTGTAGCGTCTCTGGCGGGCGATCGATGCCCTCGCCCCTCGCCTCCTCGGGCCCCTCCCCTGCCAGCCAGGCATGGTCCAGCAGGCGCGCCGCGGAGGGCCGCTCGGTGGAGTTGGGGGCAAGGGCGGTGGCCACAAAGTCAGCCCAGGGCGTCCCCGCCAGGCGCAGCGGGATGTGGGGTGCCCTGGCCGCCCGGATGTTCTCCATCGTGCGCTGCTCGCTGGGGGAGAAAAAGGGGGCCTGGCCCACCACCAGCTCATAGGCGAGGACGCCCACGGCCCAGACGTCCACCTTCTCGTCGTAGGGCGCGATGCCTGCTGCTTCCAGTTCCGCCAGCGATGTCTCCGGGCCCTCCCACAGCTGGCTGCTGGCCGTGCTGCGACCCCGGACCACCTGTGCATCGAGATGTGACTTCTGGCGTGTTTAATTGCATGTGATCAGGAATTTGAATCAGTCCAAGGCCAAGGAGAGTTGCTCGGGCAGGAGGTTCTGGCACCAGGCTCCAACCACCTCATCCCACCTCGGGTGCCATGTAGTCCAGGGTGCCGGCGCGGAGGAAGGGAATCTCCTCGCGCTGGTCGATGGACAGCCCAAAGTCTGCCAGTTTGAGACTTCCCCTTGCATCCAGCAGCAGGTTCTCGGGCTTAATGTCGCGGTGGATGATGGAGGTGGCGTGGAGGGAAGCCAGAATCCGGAGCAGGGGCTTGACCACCGTGGAAGCCACCCAGTCGGCCGACAGGGCGTCCCCAAACCTCATCATGTTGTACAGATCACCTCCGTCGCAATCCTCCTGCGATTCGCGGGCATGGAGCCGGTCGGTGACGAATGAATATAGGTAGGCGTGGACCGGGCCCCTGCGTGCCCCACCAAGCGCAGATGGTACTAGCACACCGTTCCCGTCACCGGGCATCGCCCGGGTGGATGGTCGGGGGCCCCGACCCCTGCTCACCATGATCATGCAGGCCGTCAGGGCAGTCTCGTGCTGGTCCAGCAGTCTTACGACTCCCGGAACATCCTGAGATAGCCTCAGCAATCGCATCTGCGGGGGCCCAGGGCGAGAGGGGTCGATCCAAGTATTGGGTCCCTTGTGGTGGCCGCCTGCCCCTGCATGCCAGTCCGACGAGATACTCGCCAGCCTCACCTCCCGACGCATGGCTCCAAGCTCTCGAGAGCACATGGCATGGATGTGATACCGCTTGGCCACCAGAGTGCCGCCGGCTGGGGATTGGGCCCGGTACACCACCGAGTTTCCACCCCGGTGCAGGGTCTTAAGTCGCGGGTAGGTGTCGGCATGTGCAGCGCTTGCACGGCGGCGAAGGCTGGTGTCCGCCATACACATCGTGCCTACATGATAAGAGTATAGGGTGGAAAATGGGATGAGTCCCCTTGTGTATGGCATGACCTGGGAGGAAGCAGCAGGTGCCGCGTCGAAGCAGTTGGACGCACGTGATTTCGTGCAGTTGCCCATGTGGGGGCAATCGATGGCTCGGGGCCGTGATAACTCCGCTGGGAGCAAGGGTTCCATCTTGTCCCGCATCCTCGTCCCAGCTTCCTTCTCTTTATCAGGGTTCAGGATTAGTGAGTGGAGGAATTTGGCCACCAGGCCTAGAATCATGGCGGAATTGCCACGTATGAGCGCGCGATGTGCGACCTACCGGATGTGTCGCCGTACGGATATCTGGTGAGGACGTGTGCGTGATGAGCATGACTCAGCGAGGATCTCCAGTTTTTTGTGGGAAATTTGCAGCCATGCACGGCAGCTGACCACTCCTCTTCCCCAGGCTCGCCTTGATGCGATGCGGATTCCCCGAGGGGGGAAGACGTGCTAAGCAGGGGCCCTGCACCATTTTTGCCAACGCAGTATTGATCAGGGTGGTCCCACGAAGGTTGCAAAGTCATTCTTCATTACAAGGAAACGGGGGTATTCATTTTTACTCTTCACAACAGGCTGACTAGTGAAGGCTGCAGAGGTGCGCTGCCTGGCCGAGCCGGCGCAGGTGCCGCATCTCAGGCATGGCGGCGGGCACTCCCACCCACTGCCTTGAACATTGCTTCATACCAGGTGCCAATCTTGGTCCCGTGCATGAGATCATTGAACGTGTCGGTCCCAGCCACCGCGCGAATGACTCCAAAAACTGCCAGGTCCGCCAGGTCTGGAGCGTCGCCACCGTGGAATGTGCGCCCCTGCAACCCACGGACCCAGTACTCTGCGTCCTGAAGGGGCAGGGCGGTTGGGAGAGAGGTTGCATGTTGAGGTAGATTGGTACTTGCGACCCTTGTCGCTTGCGGAGGGATTGGCATGGCAACAGCTTGTATGTGTCAAAGGCTGGGTGCGAGACAGGGGCCCAATGGCATGCAAAACATGGGAGCATCAAACACAAGAACCAAACACCAAGACGCAGACGATCCCTGGTTCTAAATGTGCTGTGTCAGCGACCCCTACAGCGCAGCAGAGACATTAAAAAACTTCGCAGCCCTGCCTGCACACCGACGTCAGCCCAGGCTCGCTCACCGCATACAGCTCCTTGCGCGAGTCACCGTCGATGCCGTACTTCTTCTTCAGCCGCCCGCTGAGGGCCCACATCATGCCCGCCCCCGCCACGCGCGCAGCCTCTCGCTGCACCCACCCAAAGTTCCCGTGCTCCGCGATGTAGTCAAACGTCTGCCAGGACTCGCGGGCGTTGCGGTAGATGTTCACGGTGATCACCCGGACGAAGCGAGAGTCCACCCAGCGCCGCCATGTCTCCTCGTCCGACGAGCCCTGCGTGCCGCTGCGGGCGGGCGGGGAGGACGTCGGGGCACTGCCCTGCCCCAGCCACGACCTCCAGCCGCCGGGGGCGGCGGGGGCCGGGGTGGCGGCGCCCCGGCCCACGCTGGCGCTCAGGCGCGAGATGATGGCGGAGGAGTCGTTGAACTGCTCGCCGTCCATGACGACGACGGGGACCTTCTTGTACTCTGACCACTTCAGCTCCGCCTTGGTCAGGGGGTTGACTTCCACGCAGGCGTAGGGGATCTGGGGAGAGGGAGGTGCCGGGTCGTGGGGTCGTCTGGGCGGCCAGGCATTCCGGGGTGCATACAGAGCTTGTCATCAGCAAGAGGTAACAGTGGGGATTGCCAGCTTGCAGACAAGGATGTGTGACTCTGGGGGGTGTCGTCTAGTCTGTGAAAATCCTAGCGACCCAAGCATGCTGCGAATGCCAATCAGTACCAGCCCTTTCCCAGCAACACTGCACTGCTCGCCCTTTGAACCCATGTCGCGCACCTTGTGGTAATCAAGGAAGGCCTTGACCTTGCAGCAGAAGGGACACACTTCGTACTGATACAGGACGATGCTCTCGGGGAGGGGCAGGGGGGTCTTCGGCAGCGAGTAGACGTCGAGTGGCTGCATGTGGAGTGCAGGGGGTTAGAGTCTGGAGCTTTGAGGTAATGCTCGCACAGAACACGCCCCTTTGCAAACCAGAGTTGTGTCTCCATGAAAGGGACACGTATTAAGAGAAGAATGACCAGCACAACTCTGTCCAAACCTACAGGATCTGCAGGGCTGGGAGCCTTGATTGCCGCTGTGCTCTCATCGCGGGCATGTGCAGGCATGGCAAAGTAGATGGACGCCGCACTGCCGACCAGGAGAGCTGCGGCGGCAGCTCCCTTCGATGACCGCGCAGCTGTCGCTGCTGTGCCGGCGCATGCCGTGGCCAGGGGCCTGTGGCAGAGGGCAGGGGCTACATTGTGACCATTCCAGCCTCACAACATCCACGGACGCCTGGCGGCTTACAGCACCACGCACCTGGAACCTCTGATGGCTACTAAATCTATTTCTGGAGTCACATCAAGTGCGGAACGTGCCTGGCGCGCCAGGCGCCCTATCGCCCTCAGGCGTTGCATGGGCGTCGCGACGGAGCACCAACAAGGGTACTGGCGAGGGGAAGATGGCGTAATATGCCGTGCTCTTTCCAGAATCTTCCGTTTGTATCGAAGTGGATCCAAGCAAATATAAACGGCTCGAGCCAGGTGAGTTCCTGTCCAGCATACAGGGCACGTCATGCATCGCATGATCTCGCTGACTCTGCTGGAGAATGCACGATGCTGGGCTCGTAGATACTCCATGTGATAGCAAGGGCGTATTATGCGCTCGAGTTTAAGCTATCATCGACACCTGCGCCAATGATGGGCGCTCCTTGCCCTGAACCTGCATGTGCACTGGGGCCATAACCAAGAACTTGCCGATGGAGGATTGCGAGACTTTGATAGTATGCAATGGCCCGCTCTGGGGCTAGAATGGATATTATGTACGTTAAAAAATTTCTAGCACTAATATCACGGCCTTGATCCAACTCCGCCAGGCCGTCGCACGACATATACAGCCTGACATGTACAGAGACGACCGCCGACCAGCAGCGCGCTGAGTGACTTGGTAGCCATGGATCCTCGTCAGGAGCAGTCCATGGGAGTGTGTGGATCGAAACACACTGCCATGGATAGCCCACCGCCCCATAGAGCACCCGCTGCGAGGCCCGTATGCCCTAGGCCGGATCCTCCTTCCCCAACCCCGGATGATTGCGCGGCCAGAGGCCGGGCTGTTGGCCGAGCAATCACCCTCCCCAAGCGCCTGGCTCCCAACACTGAAACTCATGGAGCAGAGCGAAGACTGGCCCGGCGCAGCGAAGGGGGAACACCGCTCAGGCGTCTCGCGATGCTTGGGCTTGGGGATCTCCAGAACCTGCTCTTCAGTGTCATTCCGAGCCATCCGAAGCCAGCAGGGACAAGGGAGATGTTAGGTGGGCTGTAGGTGTAAAGTCAACATGTGTGTCCAGCGTCAAGGGACTGGAGGGTATGGTTCTGAGGCCTGGCTGGATTTTGTGAAGATTGGGTTGTTGAAGGCTGATGAGCACGGAGCAGCGCACAAACTCTTGCTGCTTCCGGTCGACATAGATACTTGAAAACCATAAGCCCACTTTTTCTGCATCCTCCACCCAGCACGAGCGCTCAGGGCCAGCCGTCTTGCGCCAGACCTGACGCCCGAGAGCCTTTCGGCTGTCATCGACGCAATGGGTCCCATGTCCATGTCTGAAGGAAGGGCGGTGGTCACCCCCGGGGAGAGCAACGACGCCTCACTCTTCGTGCTGGAGTCTGGCATTTGCACCATGATGGGCCCCTCTGCAGAGGGCTCCCACCGCACATGCAGCGCTGGCAGGTGAGCTTAATGTTTGAAGCATGTTTTACTGGCATGAGAACTACTTCCCAAGGACCAGCAATGTAGCTAGCTTAACAAACACTCCTGCTGCCTCTTACATTGTCCCTGCTGCACTAGAAATATCCCCAACCCCCCCACTCAACGCCACACAGCATGTTTGGGGACATTCGCCTGTCTGGCATGCTCAGTGAGACGGTGCTGGCCACTGTCATGGCAGCAACGCCCGTGAAGCTGTGGACTATCGAGCATGCCATGGTGGTTGCCGTCTGCCGGGGAGTGGGGCGGAGTCTGCCAGGCCAGCAGCCAGCCCCCGCACAGACGCGGGAGGGCCAGGCCGGCGAAGCAGGGCCCCTGCTCGGCGTTCGCGAGGGCAGAGACTCGCCTCCTCTTCAAGGGGAGTCAGTCGAGCAGCATGCGGCCAGAAAGGCCGCACACGCTGCAGGGCCCATGGTGAAGTCTGTGCCCGTGCCGCTGCCGTCGGAGCCAGACCTCATCCGTGCCAAGCATGCTCTGGTGCAGACTCTGCAGGATGAGGTGGGTGCCTGATGGTCCTGCTGGCCCCCTGAGGTGCGAGGAGGCCATGCGCCCTCTCTGCTCAACTCTGCTCGCCAGCTGTCGCCCACTCTCCTCCTCTCCAGCCCATCGCGCTGCATGAGCTGGAAAGGATCGCAATTCTGGGCACCGGAGCCTTTGCCTACGTCGTGCTGGTCAGGTGCAGGGGCCGGGTGCATGCCCTGAAGGTGCTGTCGAAGAGCCATGTGATGGCAAAGGGACTGCAGGTGGGTTTGGTGGGGGTGGAGGGGCCACGGAATGAGTTCTGTGGGTCTCCACGCGGATACTGTCAGTCCCCGGCTTCTCGCACAAGTGCCCAGTATGCCCTCCACACAGATGCATGTGCTGCGCGAGAAGGGAATCATGAGCTCCCTTTCCTCGGCTTTCCTGGTCAACATGGCGGCGGCCCTGCAAGACAGCCAGTGGTAAGATGGAGGGAGCAGGAAGGGGAGGGAGCATGAGTTCAGACTTGCCAGAGCCATGCCATGCACATGGAGGGGTCTGCATGCACAGACTTTTGGCACCTCATCCCCATGTGCAGCCTGTACATGCTCCTGGACTTTCAGCAGGGCGGAGAGTTTTTCACCTATCTCCAGGTGCAGATCAGGGGGACCATACAGGGTGCCAGCAGCAATGCATCTGGGGAAGCAAAGGCTCCTGGGTGCTGCTCGCTATGCTCCCACACTGCTGGCCAGGCACTCTGACCCTGCTCATCGGCTGACCAAGCATCTTCCATCAACATCCCGGTTGCAGAACCGCACAGATCCACTCTCAGAGTCCAGTGCCAGGTTCTATGCAGCATGCGTGGTTGCAGGACTGGAGTACATGCATTCCAAGGGCGTGGCCTGGAGGTGAGGGGGCCAGGCTTGATTGGTTTCTGAGGCTGGACTCAACCTTACTCGTGTTTCCATCCAAAGACCAATTGGGAACAGCTCCACATTTGAGTTTATCTGAACCTAGCAGCATCTCCTCAAACCCGTACACGATTCATTGGAACAGGGATCTCAAGCCCGAGAACCTCCTGCTGGACGGCCGAGGGTACCTGCGCCTGGCCGACTTTGGGTTTGCCAAGCGAATCGCGCCGGGGTCAAGGAGTTATACCCTGTGTGGCACCCCCGAATACCTTGCCCCGGAGATCCTCATGCAGTCTGGCCACGGTCTGCCTGTGGACTGGTGAGCTGGGTGGTAGGTAGCATGTGTGCATTGGGCCCGTGCTGACATGCATTTGGCTGCCCTTTGCACCGATTATCCCGACTCGTGTGTGAAGGTCAAATAATGTACCTCCTCCCACTGCCAGGTGGGCGCTGGGAGTCCTCCTCTATGAGATGGTGGCCTGGACCCCTCCCTTCCACCAGGAGGAGAGGGCAGTCATGTTCCGAGCCATCTGCAGCGCCAACTACACCATGCCTGCCTACTTCAGCAAGGTTTGTGGGGCCAGTTTGTGCAAGACTTGGTGGTCCTCCATCTCAGCGATGCATGGTCCCATTCTTCCTCTGCATGAGCCTGCAGTGTGTCCACCATATACAAGCCCAATCTTGTCCCCATAGAAGCACGCAAGTGAACACTAGCTTGTCAACTTGCGACAGATCATGCTGACCAACAATGGAGGTGCCTCTCCCTGAAACCATCCATCGGCCAATCTGAGCCAGATTCTTTTGCAACCACCCTTCGACAGGACCTCAAGGACCTCATCAGGCGCTTGCTGAACAAGCAGCCCAGCCGCCGACTGGGCACGGTGCAGGTCTGTGGCTGGCCTTGCCCATGTCTGGAAGGCCGTGGACGTCAGATCACTGAGTTCAGTTCCCTTGACCGCTCACAATTCTCAGCCCTGTGCCTTCCCTCTTCCTTCACATATCCTCAACCCCACCTCATCCGGTTTCCCTCTCATCCTATTCCGCTTCCCCCATGCTTGCCCAGGGAGGAGTGAGCGACATCCGGAAGCATCCCTGGTTTGCAGGGTTCGACTGGTCGGCCCTCGTCAGCCAGAGGATGCCTGCCCCTTTCGTCCCAAAGGTAACAAAGCTCTGATTGGCAGGTCACTGCTGACCTGCACAGATGGTGAGCTTATGTCAGATTATAGGACTCTTCACAGCCCCAGTCCCCACCGACCAACTGCGCAGGTTCAAGGCCCAGAGGACATGGCGCACTTTGAGGCAGGGCAGGAGGTGGCACACAAGCTGCTGGGCAGTGGACGCCACGTGTCGGTGGGCACCTTTGCCGACTTTTGAGGCAGCCTGCGCTGTGCAAGGCCATGCCTCGGAGTCTTGACAGTTCCTGCAATTGCGCCATGCGACATGGTAGGGGTCGCGCCAGCGGGGACGCCATGGTCAGTTGAACAAATTACCCCAGGTGCATGATGAGGACCTGGTCCGCCGGCACGATGGTGTTGACAGAGAGCCAGGACCAGTAATGACCCAGGTCCAGCCCACGCCACAGGTCATGCCGTCCTTTCTCCAGCAAGACTTGCACCGTGTGCACCACGGTCACTCCAGCTCCTCCACGATCTTCCGCCGCCGCGCGGGCTTGACCACCACGCTCCCCGGCTTGCTGTGCGCGATGCGGTTCTTGAGCTTCCTTCGCTCTGCATCCATGACCGCCCGCCGCGTCTTGGTGGCCTGTGGCGGCGGTGTGAATGAGTGTGAGAGCGACGGCCGGGTGGCCTGTATGTAGCCGCGCAGGTTGTGACAGCGCCCGATGGCCGCGTCGGCAGCGCAAGCGGCAGCGCCGAGGCGTGCTGCGATGGGGTCGCGCCCGTGGCGCCCCAGCGGCCATCCGCACACTGTTGCCCCTTCTCCCCTTGAGCACGTCCGTCCATCACAGGTGACACATGCACTCCCTCTATCCCAGCCAATCTCCAGCCTCTCCCCAGTCCTTTTACCCCCCTCCTCCCCACAATACAGTACTCCCCCCATACCTTGTAGATGGCCGTGGGGGTGCGTCGGTTGCCGACCACCCTCCGCACCTCCGGCAGGTGCTTGTGTCGCTCGATGAGCGCGGCGCCGTAGGCCGCCTTCTGGCGCTCTCGCGGCAGCGTCACGCCCAGCTGCTGGGAGGCCTGCGCCTTCCACACGCGCACGTTCATGTCGTCCGACCCCGAGAAGACGTAGGTGCCGTCCCCCGAGAAGCGCACCGCAAACACGCGCTGCTGGCGCTTGGTGGTGTACACCTCGCGCGAGTGCCCGCCGTGCTTGGCGAAGATGCGGAGGGAGCGGTCGTAGCCGCCGGCCACGAACTCGCGGCCCGTGGGCGAGTAGTCCACGTCCATCACCGCGGACACAAAGTCCTGGTGCACGCAGCGCGCGACATCCAGGCGCCGCATGTCATAGGTGTACAGGTTGCAGTCGTCGGAGGCCAGCGTGAAGTGGAAGGCCTCCATGGGGTTCCAGGCCAGCGCGTTGGACTTGGTCTGCATGACCAGCTTGCGCAGGGGGGTGGCGGAGCGCAGGTCGTACAGCGCGACGGAGCGGTCGCCGCCGACGGAGGCCAGCAGGTCGGGCTCCGCGGGGTTGAAGCGCACCGAGGCCACCGTGTCGGCGCCCCACTCAAAGGCGTGCACCGGGTCAGAGCGCGCGTGGTCCCACACACAGACACCGACGCCCGCGGTGGCGAACTGGGAGCGCGCCCAGTGGTGGTCCACGCCGCGCAGGCCGCCGCGCGCGGTCCACTGCAGCACCGGCGAGGCGTCGCGCTCCACGGGCCCGCCGGCGAAGGGCGCGAAGGGCACGCGCCAGAGGCGGGCGGTGCCGTCGGCGCCGGCGGACACGGCGACGTCGCCGGAGGGGGCCACCGCCACGCCGGTGACGGCGCCGGCGTGGCCCACCAGGCGGCGCAGGCAGCGCCGCGCGGCCACGTCCCAGAGCCGGACCTCGCCGTCGGCGGTGCCGGACAGCAGGCAGTTGAGGCGGGCGGGGGAGCGGGCGAGGCAGGTGATGCCGTCGGTGTGGGGGAAGGCCGCCAGGAAGGGGCGCGCAAACAGCCGGTCCAGCTTGGCTGCAGGGTCGGGGTGGTGATGTCGAGTGTTGTTTCGGAATGGGGGGGGGACGAGAGGTCAGCCAGGGTGCGTAGACGCTCATGGGGAGTGACCTTGGGAAGGCAAAGGTGATGGGAAGTCCACATTCCAGTCTCAGCATCCTCCTCCAACACCACCCCACGAAGGTCCTCACCGGCATTCAGGGCCCTCGTGTACTCCTTGGCCTTCTCAAAGGGGTGCAGGGCCGGGTCGAGGTTGCGGTGCACCTTGAGGACATCCTGCGACCGGGTGCGGGTGCACGCCTCCTCGCTCCTGTTGATTACCTTCACCTTCATCGCCTGCCGCACGCCCTGGGGTCTCCTCCTCGACGGCCCGACTGCTGCGCGTCACGAGGAGCAGGTAGCGGACGCCAGGTCGGAATTCAGACCGATGAGCCTCTAAATTCGCTTATCCTTCGGCAGCAAGCTCAGAAGCCTCGCGGGGGCAAGCCGATATGTAACGGTGAAATGCAGTGATAGCATTCCAGGAGCAGGCGAGAAGAACACTTCGCTATATACTTTTGTGCCACATATACCAGAGGTATGAATGTACATGCAAGGGCTTACTACACCCTGGTGGCAGAAGTGCAAGCCGAATGGCGCCTGGTCGTCAGGGCGCGAGTACGGTGGATCTTCGTGCTTTCCAAGGTATGTTGCCACCCCCTTCATTCCAAACACAGACAATCGATACGGTTCTGTGATTGCTTGGAGGTCGGGCCGAGTTTCCATTTGAAGCCAAGATCAACCCCTCGGACTCGTGCATGCCGTGCAAGACCCCAGGAAAGGAGCTGAGAAGAGGACTGGGGTGCTGGGTGAGTTATAATTGTGGGTGTCTTGACGATTCGGGCCGAATACTCCTCAGCGCCGGCAGAACGAGGCCAAGCCATCAAATGTTGGCCATGTTGAGAGTATAGGGAGCGCTTGGTCGGGTGTGGGAGCTGCTTGCTCATTGCGCTTCATTCAAGAGGCTGCCATTCCGAGTCCTGAATCTACCGAGGGCCAGGCTTTCGCCCACTTCGGCTCCTGCATTCATTGCACAAGAAAACAATGCCTCCCCCTCCACAGTCTGCAATTCATCACTATCTTCACCCCTCAATCACAGGGAAGCTCAACATGCCTCGCTCTGCCGAGTTCCGGCCTTCCTCGGAAACTTGAAATCACTTCATTACTTCCCATACACTCGACCCGCCCGCTTGTCACCGGGGACCGTCGAAATACCGATCCACCCCCGTCTGCCGTCCTCCGGTCCCAGAACCCTTCCCTCCGTCCCTAGAGCGGCCAATCCAGCTTCCTGCTGCGGCTCCAGGCCGGCGGTGCTCAGACCCCATGGCGCCCTCGGCCGTCGCCCAGCCCAAACGCACGCCCTCGCGCCTGGGCATGGGAACCCTGCCCGGGCCGGAGTCCGACGACCGCCCCAAGCGGCGACGCACCGCCGCCGCCCAGTCGCTGGCGGTGCTGCACCTGAGCACGCTGTCCTCCTCCTCCTCCAGCGAGAGCAGCAGCAGCGGGTCGGAGTCCGCCAGCAGCAGCAGCAGCGGGGGCAGCACGGAGGTGGACTCCGACTCGGAGCGCATGGGGGAGGGGCCCAGCGGGCGCCGGGGAGACACGGCCTGGTCGGTGAGTGTCTGGTGCTGGGTGGCGGAGTGGTGTTGCAGTGATCGAGGGTGGCTGGGTGATACCCTGGCCCACAGGGGGGTATATGACTGAATGTTTGGTATGGTGTGCTCACTGGGAGGCGATCGAGTGAAGGGTGTGCAGCAGAGCCACGGTGCAAGGCTCAAATCATGTGCAGCATAGGCCATTTGGCAGTCCTCTGCCGAGCCTGAGCCATTCCAGTTTCATCCCTTCTCCATCCTCTGTGCCATGCCAGGCCGGACTGAATGCCACTGGGCTGTCAGAGGAGGAGCAAGGGATCCTGCCCCCCGGCATGAACAGGACGCTGTATGTGCGCCTGCGCAACCGCATCCTCAATCGCTGGAGGAAAAATGTTGGGCGCTACTGTGACCAGGAATCGGTGGTGGCCAGCGTTGCAGAACCTGAGCGAGCAGCGGCCCTGCTAGCCTGGAAATTCCTCACACGTAGGCTTTGGCGATTGTAGTGACTGTGTTCATGAGGCTGAAGAGGCCCAGGGGGTGGGGGAGGGATGGTGGAACTCTGGAGGGGTGATGGCTGGAAAACACCTCTTTGCCATTGCGACTGATTGACATAGGGGACATTCCCCTGTCTCTCTCCATGGCCTGACAACCCCAAACACCCAATGCCTTCCGTCACCTTTCCCACGGTCATCGCAGTCAAGGGCTACATCAACTTTGGCGTGTCGCCGGCGGTGTCTGCGCGCATGCGGGCCACCACCGACGCGCGCGGGTCCGTGGTGGTGATCGGCGCGGGGTGTGCAGGGCTGGCAGCTGCCCGGCAGCTGCGCACCTTTGGCTACCGGGTGGTGGTTCTGGAGGGCCGCAACAGGCCCGGCGGCCGCGTGCATACTCTGCGCCTGGAGGTGAGCGGGGTCGGTGGTGCAGGAGGGTGGGCGCCGGAGTGGCAAGTTCCTGGTGTCCACGCTGAAAGTGCAAAGGCTGGCGGATGGAGTGGACCTGGACGGTGACATCTGCCTTTGTTTCCATCCACGCCTGGAGGTCCACTGCTCTGGAGCATGGGCGATGGCGCGACGCACCGCCGTGCCTCCTCCCGACGGAGGGCGAGCCCCCCTCTTCCGCCTGCTTGCAGGGTCCCGGCGGTGTGGCGGCGGTTGGGGAGCTGGGCGCCTCCATCATCACGGGGGTGGATGGCAACCCAGCGGCCATCATCGCCACGCAGCTGGGCATCCCCATGGCGACCATCCGCACGCACACACCGATCTACCTCGAAGGGGGGGTGGAGGCCAATAAAACCCTCGACGAAAAGGTCAGTGGGGACAGCCAGAGACTTTCATCGGATGGAGAGTCACCCCTGCCCGGCATGCCTGGGACTATCCTCGAGCCGGACTGGTGGTGGGTCTCTGTTCCTGGAGAGGACAGGCGGGTGGGAAGACAGCTCTCCATGCCTTCCACGCATGCGATGTGGGACATGCATTCCCTCTTCCACCCTCACTCGGACCCCCATACCTTGTCAACCCCCAAGGTGGAGGCCCACCACAACTTCCTGCTGGACGAGTGCCACCAGATCCGGGAGCGGCTGGCCGCCGCCGGCGGCGACCAGCCCCTGGGCCAGACCTTGGAGGCCCTGTGGACCGAGCACCTGCCCCGCCTGGGACTGGCCTCGGCCGCAGACCTGGCCCAGGCGCGGCAGCTGTTCGAGTGGCACCTGGCCAACCTGGAGTTTGCCAACTCGGAGCGGCTGGACAGCCTGTCCCTGCGCCACTGGGACCAGGACGACCCCAACGAGCTGCCCGGTGCGCACACCTTTGTCCCCGGCGGCAACGCGCGCTGGGTGCGCGAGCTGGCCCGCGACCTGGTGATCTACTACGACTCCCCCGCCCGCGCCGTGCACTACGGGGCGCGGGGGGTGGAGGTGCACACGCCGCGGCACACCTTCCGGGCGGATGCCGCCGTGGTCACCGTGCCCCTGGGCTGCCTGAAGGCCGGGGATGTGGAGTTCAGGCCGGCGCTGACGCCGCGCAAGCTGGGCGCGGTGGCGCGCATCAACTTTGGGACGCTGAACAAGGTGGTCCTCCTCTTCCCCCACGCGTTCTGGGGCGGGGAGCTGGACATGTTTGGCCGCGCCACGCCCTCCCCCGACCACCGCGGCGACTCCTTCCTCTTCTACTCCGCCGACGTGCTGTCCGGCGGCGCCGTCCTGGTCGCCCTCGTGGCAGGTGCATCGATGGGGCCACCCAAGGGAGGTGGCCTCACCTACATGGGGGCCTGGCTGATCATCAACATGGTGCCCAGGGTTCTAAATATCAAGCACTCCCTGACGTCGCCCGGTATCCCTCCACCCCAGCCCTGTTCTCGCGCCTCAAATCCCCCCTCCAAATCCCTCCCCCACAGGTGCCGCCGCAGCTGAGTACGAGACGCTGACCGCCACGGTGGCCACCTCGCGAGTCATGGGCACGCTGCGCGCGCTGTTTGAGCCGCGGGGCATTCGCGTCCCGGCACCCCTCCAGGCCGGGGTCACGCGCTGGGGCTCCGACCCCATGTGCCGCGGCTCCTACTCCTCCCTCTCTGTCGGCGCGCTGGGCGGCGCCGACTATGACGTCCTGGCGGAGAACCTGGGGGGGAGGGTGAGACTGGGGCAGTGGGCGGTGGGCGGGGAGGGGAGGGGAAGGCGGGTGCGGAGCTGGTTTGGTCATCTGATGGGGGTAGAGGCGGCTGCACAGCAGCTTCTTAGCTACCGCGGAGGGCCACCTCCAGCCCCGGACCCAGCCCCGCTGCACTGGGCACAGAGTCTTCCAGCCGCCACGGCTGCGCAATCTCATCTCTCTCCCCCCTGCTCACCATCCCTCCCTCCCGCCTGGCTTGATACCCGAAGGTGTTCTTCTCGGGCGAGGCGACCAACCGCAAGTACCCCGCCACGATGCACGGCGCCCTCATCTCCGGCTTCGCCTGCGCCGCCAACGTCCACGCCTGCGCTCAGCGCCTAGCCCTGGGCCTAGCCACCTGCTCGCCGCCTCTGAAGGAGGAGGAGGCCGTCGGGAAGCCCGCCCCGCCTCACTCGGTGCCCGTGCCGTCGCATCGATTTGCGCGTGCGCGAGCAGAGGACTCAGCGGCAGCGGACGCGTGGGCAGAGGACGCGGGCGCGGCAGCCGCATGGGTCCATCACGCAGGTGCGCCCCCCGTCGGAGCCGGCGGCGCACGGGCGCCCTCCGCCCAATCAGACGGCGCACGCGCGCCCCCCGGTCAGCCCTGCCCCGCCCCGGCGACCCTCGTTCAGGCCATCCTGGAGCGCACACGTCACGGCGAGGCCCCGCCCGCCGAGGCCCCGCCCGTCGAGGCGCGCCCCGCCAAGGCGCCGCCCAACCCTGCGTCCCGGCAGGCGGCCTCGCCCGCGCGCGCCTCGGAGCCGGCGGCCTCGCCCGCCCCCGCACCCATGCGGGCGGCCCGCAGCCAGGCCCCGCCTGCCTGGGAGGAAGACCTGGCTCGCGTGGAGCGCGTGCTCGCGCTCCACCCCCCAGACCTGGAGTTTGGCCACTTCACCGCCATGCACGGCCCCCGCGCCCAGAGCCTGCTGACGTGGTGGGTGGAGGGCCGGGCGGGGCCCCGCCCCCTGGCCATCCACAGCGTGCTGTCCACGGCCCGCGTGGAGGACCTGGCGGACTGCCCTGGGGGCGACGCGGCGCGGCTGAGCCTCTGGCTGGCCGGGCCGGGGACCGACCCGCTGCAGCGCGCCGGCTTCCAGCCGCACCACGCGGCCTGGCTCGTGGAGCTGGAGGCGGCGGTGGCGGCGCGGACATAGGGCGCTGGCCGAGCGTGGTGTGCTGGACCGGGGCGCAGGCGGGGGCCGAGGCCCCGCTGCTTCCTGGCATGAGGGCTGGACCGGGCCGGTGTCCAGGCGCTCGGCGCCCTGCTGAGGGCCACGGCCCGAGCCAGGAGCCCCGCGTACGGCTGGATCTGGCGCTGGGGTGTCCACCTGCACTGCCGCCCCCCCCCCCACAAAACCCTCTGCCGTGCCCGTCTGTACCTCGCTGGAGGATATCACTCACGATATCTCATGCAGTGCAAAGTTCTCAGGGAGTTGGGGCAGCAAAGGGCCCAACGCTGTCCATCGGAGGCACCAAAACTGCGGGGATGTTGCTGCGCAATGCTGGGCATGGTCGGCACGCAGGAGCAAAGGGGGGTCACTCACAAGACTGAGGGAGCAAGGGTCTCTAGTAGCAGGAAGGAGAGTGTGAAGGGATCAGGGGAGCGAGCCGGGATGTGCCGAGGAAGGAATGCAGAAGGGGCGGTTTGGATGCTCCAGGCCCGCTCATCTTGCTGGGAGCATCACCTCCCCCGCCCCGCCATCTCCAGCTGCACGGCGGCCTCCATGATGCCCAGCAGCTGCCTGGCCGTGCTTTCCAGCGTCTGGTCTGCGCAGCCCTGGAGCCTGCAGAGGTTGGGACAGGGTGCGGGTTGAGGTCGAAGCACCGCATTTGCGCTTGGCAGCCCCAAGGAACCCCTTCCCTGTAAGGACTCCGTGCATACCAGGAGAGGCAAAACCGCCCACCATGCCCGCCTTCCCCCGTCGGCCCAGCAAGCCCTCCACGCCACCACCCCCAGACCATCCTTACCCCCCCACCTGGCCAGCAAGGCCTCGAAGAGGCCCCGCACCACCCGCTCGCTATGCGCGCTGAGCGCCAGCAGTGCCTGGAACGCGGCGGGCACTGACGGCCCCTTCCTCCCCGAGCCCTCCGCTGCCCGCTCCAGCACCACCGCCAGGCGGTGCATCCAGGCGCACATGACGCCCGCCTCATCCCTGCCGCGGAGCTGCAGCGCCGGCGGCGCTGGCAGCGCGTGGCCCCTGTCTGGGGTCGTCGCCGGCTCCGGCGACCAACCGGGCCGCTCCTCGGCGTCCTCCTCCGGCCTCGCGCCGTAGCCGGTGCGCGCGCGCTTGGCCGCCCTCACGACTTGTGGCGCCGGGCCCGCGGCCGGCGCCTGCCCGCCTGCCTCGCCAAGCCCCGGAGCCCCGGCCCCCGCCCCGCTGCGGAAGGAGCTGGAGGCGGACTCGCCGCTGCTGAGGTGGCGCAGCGAGGCCTCCCCCCTGGCCCCCCTCCCGCCCGCCGGCGAGGCCGGGGGCGAGGCCGCGCCGAGGCCGCGCCCGCCCCCCCAGCCGCACCAGCTCCACGGGGAGGTGCAGGTCCTCCACGCACTTCTCGCTGTAGGCCACACGGTGCTTTCCAGAGTCGCGGCTGTACCCCGTGATGCGGCCGCGATGCAGCTTGCCGTCGCTGGTCCAGCAGACGCACACGTCCTCGCCCACCACGCCGGCGCCGAAGCGCGCCTCGGCCGCGCACTTGAGCCAAGACAGGAGCGTGGCGCGGGAGCCCTCGCCGCAGCCCACCACGTGGATCGACTCCTTCCACTGTGAAAGGAGGGGTGTAGAAGGGGAAGGGAGGCCTGAGCATGAACATGGTCAGCGGTGCCTGGTAGGGAGTGCGCATGGTCTGCCAGGCATGATGCCGCCCATTAACGAGGTATCCTTCTTGCTGGCAGAACCCCTGCTTTGTACAAGACCCTAGATGGCAGTGGCGGGTGCTGCAAGGACCCTGCACACGCGCATCCCTGAGACGGCGGCCCCAAGCGTGGCTGCAGCACCCTCGCCCACCTTCTTGCTGAGCTCCCTGCCGGCCACCCGCTCAAACTGGCTGCACGTCATGATGCGCCCACCCTAGAGTAAAAAGTCGAGGTGTGTGTGTGTGTGGAGCCATTGGTTTGGAATGACCATCCTGCCATGCCGAGTCACGGCTCCTTGCCAGGGCCTGCCATCAATGGCGGAGTCTGACTGCCAACCGCCACCACGTCCCCGAAAGCTAAAAGGTCCCAGCCATCAATCTGCTCCCTCACCGTGCCAATGTCGGTGTCGGGCAGGTCTTCGTACCCGGATGAGATGCAGCGGATGTAGAGGTCCTTGTCATGGCCGCCCAGGAACTCGCCATAGAGGCCATTGCAGACCACCGTGCAGAGGGGGGCCCACCCCAGTTGCAGGACGGGGTGAATGTTGGAACCTTCGACCTCGAGCTCCTTGGCGCATGGCTCGTCTCGGGGCTCCAGCTCGCGGGAAGGTTGGTTGGAGGTGACACAGGCCCCCAGCGGGGCCGACCGCTGGGGCGCGAAGCACCCCGCCAGCAATTCCACGGCCTCCTTCTGTAACATCGTGGGCGGGAACGGCAACGTGAGACTCGATGTCGAGGGATAATGTCTCGACGGCAGGGGCAGGAGTGGGAGACCCGCCTCTCGCCCACGCTCGTTCTGGTACATGCAAAACCCCCGTCACGGAGGGTTGGCTGTCATGCCGAAGGTGCCGGAACCCAGTGCACCAGCAAAAGCGGCGTACGAGGCCGCACGGCAGCTTGATGCCTCCTGCATGCATACCGTGGCCATATCGAGGCTCGTCATGTGGGTCGGGCGGGCCTCGGGTGGGCTACGCGACGGCGACTCGGTCGGTGCCCTACTGTTCCACTCGGCGGTCAGCCGTGGATAGTCGGTCGGCAAGGGGCCGTGAATGCTTCGCAGGAACAAGAAGTACGCGGTAAAAGGTGTGGAATACACCCGTGATCCGCTGTGGATGTGGATATTCGGATGTGTTGTTTTGCAAGGTGCAGGCAAAACGAAAACGTGGCGGAATCCGAACCAGCCAACGCACCTCGGTTGTATGGTATCAACGAGTCGGATCCAGTTACTACTATATGGATTGACACCATTGCATGCGGGCGGCCGAAAAGATGCGGCGCGAAGAGAGGAATCTATCCACGCACGCACGCCTGGTCGGGCGTATTCTTTCAGGGTTTTTTCAATATTCCCTAGCGCGGTGCAGAGCATGAACCCTGCCACCCACTTTCACGAAGGTGGGTTCCCCCGGTGAATCACACGATAATGTACTGAGGCTTCCAAGAGCCCGTTCAAACATCGTCTACGGTTTGTCGCAGGGAGTCATGGCCCCGGGCATGGTTGTGCCGCGGTCGACCGAACGGTCACGTGCACTGCGGCAACGCGACAAGGCTCGGACGCCGGACAACCCACACGACAATGGGCCGAAACTCCAGCTCTAAACATGCAAGTAGTGTACGGACCCCCACACTGAGCTTGAAAGTGTGACGCGCGCCCCTGATGGTCTGCAGTGAAAGCCCTACATGGGCTTGTACCAGCTGACGCCTGGGCCGGCTTGTCCACGGGCTCTTGGACACCACCTCATCCACCCTCCTAAAAAAGCGCGTGACTTTTCGAATGTATGCGAAAGGCTGATTTGGTATCTTTCAGGGCTATGCAAGTACGATGTGCACAACGCAGAGTGCCAAAACCTCAGGGGTGCTCCACTACATGTCTGTGGGAGAAGAAATCGGTAACTGAAGGGTCCACCGTGAGGCGACGCGTAAAAACGTGTCTACACGCGTTGTATTGAGGCGCCTCATTGGGGGATGGCAGCGCACCCTTTTCCTCGATAGCCGCGCGCCCTCGTTGCGCGCCTTCGATCAACGACAGAAAATTTTCACGCATGACAGGCAGCACAAGGAACAGAACGGTGGTTTTTTAATCTTGGTCAGATCAGAATCGAATAGACAGGCCCATTCTGCGATCCTGCCTGTGGAAACACTCCTAGCAGTCCCTCCCTCCGTTGCTTCGCGGCGTAGCCTCGGGACGAAGTGGAGCCATGCCGCCCCGTGCATTCGCAGGGATCAATGATGGGTGCGCATCGCGACGTTGAAGCTGCCTCGCCTCTCACACGCGCAGGTGCTGTGTGTGCTGTTCGCCAGAGTCACCCATCCCCTCCCTCCCACTAAACCACCCCTCACGCCAGGGGCCCGGCCGCCTTCTACTGGGGGCTCCCACCCATGACGCGCCTCCTCCTCACCTGCTTCCTTGTCACCGGACTGGGCGCGCTGGTGGGCGTGCTGCCCTACACCCACATGTACCTGGACTGGCACTACCTCCTCCGGGTCCCGCCCCAGGTGAGGACGGTGCGCCGCGCCGCCAAGCACATGCCCATGCCCGGGGTCCTGCAGGCCGCAGCGCATTCATGCACCCCCCTCCCCACCTGCCCCAGGTCTGGCGCCTGCTCCTCAACTTCACCTTCATTGGCTCGCCCAGCTTTGGCTACCTCATCCGCCTGATCTGGCTGTGAGTTCATGACTTCTGTGCTTTGGGAGTGGGGGAAAGAGGGGAGGAGAAATCTGCGCTTTGTGCTCACTCCTTTGATGCCCCGGCATTGCGGTAGCAAGCCAGGCCGCGCATCACCATCCCCCGGCCCCCTCCACGTAATCGACCCCCACAGAGTACAGTACGGTGGGCAGTACGAGCGCGCCAAGTTTGCGCACAGCGCGGCCGACGCGGCCACCATGCTCCTCTTCGGCATGGCCTCCCTGCTCCTGCTGGACCTGGCCCTTCCCCCCGCCCGCATCGGCTTCCATGGCCTGTCCCTCCTCTACATGCTGGTCTACGCCTGGAGCAGGGCCAACCCCACCGCCCAGGTCTCCTTCATGGGCTTGCTCACCCTGCCAGGCCTCTACCTGCCGGGGGTCTTCGTGGCCATGGACCTGCTCCAGGGCCAGTCTGTGGCGGCCCCGCTGCTCGGCATCGCGGCGGGACACCTGTGAGACAGTGGGGCTGAAGGGGAGGGGAGAATGGCCCATGGCAGCATGGCTTGAGAGTGTTCAAGCCTGGTGCAGGCGTGTCCCGGCCTGAAGCCGCCGCTTGAGGGCTGATTATCCAGCTGCCTTGCCGAAGAGCACGGCGCTATCTCATCCCTCCCTCCCCTCTGGACTTCCCGTTGAATTGCCACAGGTACTACTTCCTCACTGAGGTCTATCCCCTGACCTCTGGCCGGCACATAATTCAAACGCCGCAATGGCTGTGAGTGGCACATCTCTGTGGAGACTGAGCAGGTTCTGGGTACCACATGCTGTGACATCCCTTGCATGTTCGGACTGCAAACTCCCTCAAGTGACTTCGCCCCCCAAAACCCTCTGCACACCATGCAGCGCCCGAGCCATCAGCAGGTGGGGCCTGGGCGCAGTTCCCATCCAGCAGGTCAACCCGGTCAACCCCAGCGACCACGCTTTCCGTGCTTTCACGGGCTCTGGACGACGACTGGCTGGCTGAGAGGTGCTTCGCAGCAGTGCCTCTTGACTGGCCATGCGAAGGCAGCAGCTGTCATGGTTGCTCTGCCAAACTGGTCCTCAAGCACCTGTGCCTACGTGTTTGCTGCGGACCGCAGCCTTACAGACAAGGGACACTGGGGTCCTTGCATGGCTGCATGAAGGTGTCAACACCGGCTGTGCCATATGAGTCTTGCAGGGAAGCGCAGGCATCAGGATGCTGGCGATACACCTGCAGCCTCCTTCAGCTGGGTCTCCAGCTCCCCACTCTGATGCATCTGGTACAGGATGTCGCTGCCGCCGATGAACTCGCCCTTGACAAAGATCTGCGTGCCAGGAGGGGCAATGGTTCAGAAGGGTGTAAGAGTAGAGTGGCACAGACCTGCAACTCAGACCAGTGCGGGCCTGGCAAGGACTGGCCAGCCTGGTGATGCCCACAAGCTCGCAACGCTGCAGTGCAACAAGCATGGCCAGGCCGACCAATTCCTGCTTCCTACTACAACCAACAACCTGAGGAATGGTGGGCCAGTGTGTGAATTGCTTGATGCCTTCCCGGAGGTCAGGGTCGGACAGAACATCCCGGCTGCCATATGGGACACTGTGCAGATCCAGGATGCGGCAGGCCATGTTGCTGAATCCGCACATGGGGCGCTCAGGCTGGCCCTGTATGTGATTGGGACAAGATGGCAGGCGGTCAGGTCGGCAGCTCGTCGACCTGTGAAGGTACGTGAGAGTACACATACGAGCCTTGCCCTCCACCCATACGACAATGCTCGCCTTCATGTATATGAAAACGACATGCTTTGTGACGTCTTCCTTGATCTGCTCCGCCACAGATTTGGAAGCATCACCCTTCGTCTGTGGCTGGAAGTCCTCGTGAGTGTCGGTGCTGAAGGACAGTGGTCGCCCTGTGCACAGTAGACAACGAGGAGATGGCTTGGTCCACGGCGCTCGACAACGGCAGCAGCTTCATATGGGTACCGACCGAGTTCAATCATTCTTCCTTTGTACACCTGTATATGCTGCGTAGATTGGGCGCAGAGTCGAGCCTGCTGGGAAGGCACGACTGGACCGAAGTAGTAAGCTTATGGACGCCATGCTGCCTTATACAAACTGAGCAGGTTATGTCACGAGTTCGGTCCAGAATTTATGGAATGTAATGGCCGATTCATGCACGCATATCGACTCTTCCTCCAACGCTCCTAATGCGAAGCATGGCTTAGAAAGGAACTGGACCCCAGCATGGCCCGCATGGTGCAAAATGAGCACGCTCACCCGACACGATTGGCATACCAATGCGCACACTCTCGCTCTACAGATCATCATCTGAATGACCACTCAGAGAACATCACCTTTGGATGCCCCCCCAAAGTTGACCTGATCTGTCTGACGAGGTGGAGTTGCCACAAAGGGTACGCGAACGACCACTGATCGGTGTCGACGAGCTGCGAACAGTGGTGTCGCATACGAAGGAAAGAAGAACCACACCATGAGCGGGGCTCAGGAAGGAGCTTCCTACGAGGCGATGCAAAGGGTCAAGACCAAATATCATCGCCTCAAGAGCCGGGGCCAGCCAGATGCCGCCTACCAACACCTGGAGGTGAGCTTGGGGCCCAGAGCAAGGGGTGTCGAAGTTGGCCATGCTCAGCTCCCTTGGTGTGGCTGCCTGTTCGGACCTGATGCGCTGTTCACTTTCTTCACACCACTCCCAGGCAGCCATCACGAGCCAGCTGCGTGATCGCAACTTGGCCAATGCCGACGAGCTGATAAAAATGCTGATCCAGGCATTCATGGAGGAAGAGGTCCCGGTGACTCCTAGAATAGCACATCGCTTCATGGAATTCTGGAACAACTATGCGGACCTCGTTGACTCGGACGCGGAAGCCCTGATGCTCCTGGACAGGATGCTCGAAGCAGAACGCTACCTGCATGAAGTAGGGTGAGCCAGGCACAGGACGGTGGGCTGCCGGGGACGGGTGGCATGTGCCCCCGGCTGGCGTTCCTCCCCCATGTGATCAAGACCCTCCCTGCCCCGCGCCCCGCCCAGCTACCCGGTGGAGGACGAAAACGGCATCAGGTGCTGGTTAACAGCACAGCTCAGCATCGGCCCGCTGCTGCTGCGCGCCCGACCCAATCGGGTCGGCCTGGCGCTGAGCCACTTTGCCAAGGGATTCTCACCGGAGCTGCTGTACAGGGGTGGGGCGGGGGTGAGGAGCGTGGGTTAGATCCGGTGGGGTCCGCGGCAGAGCGCTGCCGGCGCCGCGAGCGCGAGTTCACCGACCACCCCCCCCCTGCCGCAGCCATGCTCGCGGCTCTGGAGGACAAGGGCCTACGAGAGGAGACCCTGATGGCCTGGTCCCGCATCGTGCTGACGTATGCCGCGACAGATTGGAGCTTCTATAACGAGGAGCCATTGAATGCACTGAACGAGGGCCTGTCATTCTGGGGCTTCGTCTTCCCAGTTGATAGGGCGCCCGACATTCCCTTGGTCCACTTCATTGAGATGTTCATCACGGTAGGCGTAGGCAATGTTTTGAGGCGGGTTTGACTCGTCGTAGGCGGGTTGTTCGCTGGGTCTGCAATGCCCCTTGAGCCCCAGCTTCAAGTGCCAAGGCAGCCCCGGCTCCCCTTTGTCTGCGCAGTCGGTACAGAAGAAGCTCTTCCCGCTCGCGCGGCTGCTTTTGGCTCGGTATCGGCCCCTCCTCGCGCGGGACCCAGCGCTTGCAAAACTGGCCGAGAAAGCGATAGCCCTGCACTCCGACCCCAGGAAAGCGCGGTCCCGAGATTTCGACTGGGACGCCCTCAAGAGAGGGATCAACCCAGCGTAGATGCATGCGTAGGGCATGCACACCCTTGGGCGTGGAAGGTGATGGTGATTTGCAAAACCCAGTGTGGAAGCTACATGAGACTGAGCAGGCAGAGCGCACCAGGGGGGGGGTGGGAGTCTGTCCAGCAGTGTCGTGGAATGGCTTGGGCTTGAGGCTCCACCAACCAAGTTAGTAACCTGGCTGGGCTGCTGGAACACAATGTTTTGGTGCAGTTTTCTAAAGGCAACAGAGTCCCGAGGTTTCCAAGAGCCGGGGCCCCTCATGCATGCTGTACTATCAGGCTTGCGCTGACCAGGACGAGTTCAACAGTTTGAGATCAGCTCCCGGAAGCAGTGTGTGCGAGCGCGCGCCTCGGGTTCCGCCTCATGAGCCCCGTGGATCAAAAGCCCGGTGCTGAGATGGACATGCATGTACCGGTGTGCACTGGGGAGATCAACCTCTTACAACACTCACAAGGACGACAACTGGCCACCAGCGTAATCGCATAGCGCTGCATGTTGTAGGCGAGCCCGCCCTGCACACGGCCCCGCCATGCAGGCGCCTCGCGTGCCATGGCGAGGGTCGGTGGGCCTGCCATCCCCCATCCGGCCCCTCTCCTTCCCGAGGCAGCGTCGCTGTCATGCGCCCCGCCGCGCCGAGCCCAGCAAGCCCGCGGATGTCTTGCTGAAGCTGCGTGAGTCGGTGCAGTCCAGGCTGACAGTGTCGGAGCTGAGCGAGCCCGGGTACGAGGGGCTGGACCCCCTCCCCGAGTTCAACCCCCCGGCAGCCGTGGGAGGGGCCACGTACGAGGTCATGCGCCTGGACCCGGCTGAGGGGCCGCGCCGCCTGTGCGTGAGGCGGCGGGACCTGCTCAGGGCACACCGCCTGGCCCCCCGCGACCTGCGCCAGCTGGACCACGACTCCAGCGCCAGCAGGGCGCCGCCGCGCGTGGTGCTCAAGGACGGCTGCGTGCTCATGAACCTGGGAGGGGTGAGGTGAGGACGCAGCGCCGGGTGGTGGGAGCAGCGGTGGGCTCGCTGCTGGGCGGGAGGAGCGCCAGGACTGCCGAGTGTTCAGAGTCCCGCCAAAGGCGCCGGGCGCATTCAGGGTCGTCCAAGCTGCTGCGCATGGTGGTAAGGCCCTTGGCATGAAGCGTGCCTCATGGCGCCGCCAACCCCAACCCCAGAAACCACTCCTTTCCACGCACACACGCAGGGCCATCATCGAGGCGGACAGGTGCCTGGTGTTCGACCCCGACACGCCGCCCGCCACCCACTTCCTGGACATGACGCTGCCGAAGCTGGAGGGCACGCGGGTGGGCCTGGCCTCTGCAGCAGGCAGGGGCGAGGCCAAGGGCGGGGCCGCCGGCTTCGAGTCCGACCAGGCATCCCTGCCCTTTGAGCTGGAGATCCTGGAGGGCGGTCTGGCTATTGCCACAGGTGAGGTGGCGTGATTGCTTGCACAGGGCCTGGTGGATGATACTGAAGGCCCCGTCAGTGCCTTTCTGGCTGGAGTAATGGGAGGGTGCTGCAGCACGGACAACTGTTGCTTGTCAGAGATTTCTTTCTGCATGGAAGCGGCAGCTATGCCGTCATCAATTCCCCCAGTCAACGATGTTGTGAGCAAACGTTTTCATTAGAATGCCATGGCCCTCCCACCCGCGCCCACCCCCACTGGCCCCCTGACCCAACCCCACTGACCCCTCACCCGACCCCCCCACCCACCCCGCCGTCCTTTCTCAGCGACGCTGGAGGGGGAGCTGCGCGGCATCTCCCAGCGCGCCACGGGCGTGCTGCAGCGCCTGCCGCGCGAGGTCAACCCCGTGAACCTGGAGGACCTGCGCCGCCTGAAGCAGCAGCTGGTGGAGCTGGAGGGCAAGGCACAGGACGTGTGCGACTTGCTGGAGCAGCTGATGGATGACGAGGACGACTACCACAAGCTGAATCTGTCCTCGCGCCTGCGCCGGGAGGAGCGGCAGCGCGCGCGGGAGCAGGGGCGCCTGAGGGGGCAGGTGGAGAGGCGGGGCGGCGCAGGTGAGGGCGGGGAGGGCCTGGCGGGGGCCGACGCCGGGTCAAAGTCGGTGGATGCCGGGAAATCTGCAGACGACCCCGCGCCGACCCGCTCGCCGCTGGCCCCCCCGACCGCGGATGGCGCGGTGCCCACGCCGCCGCCGGCTGCGAGCCAGGGCGGCAGCATGGGTTCCAGCTACAGCGGCGGCGCCGGCGCGCACCCCTGGACGCGGCGGCGGCCCGATCGCCGCGCCGCGGCGCGGCGCTGGGCGCAGAAGCTGCGCGAGCAGGAGCATGGGCGGCGGGGGGACGACGGGTTTGCGCATGCCATCGAGGCGTACCAGGAGCTGCTGGAAGAGGTAGGGGGTGGGCCGTGATGGTGGGGTTTGGGGTCGCTGAGGCGACGGGCGTCCTGCTGCGGAGGCGTGCGGGACACCATGAACCCCCAGAAGTGGGGGTGCCAACGATGCGCGGGCGCATCATGCAGGAGGAGGAGGAGCGAGAGCTGGAGGAGGTGGAGGACCTGCTGGAGTACTACCGGCAGAGGGCTGCGATGACGCAGGTGGGGGGACTCCTTCGAGGGCCTCGGCTGAGCATTAGGGTGTGCATTGCGGTGTGGGTTCAATGAGGTGACTATAGACGAACACAGATCGCAGCACCTGGGGCCGAATCGCTTGCATGTGACAACATAACTGTCTGATGGGCCCCCCCCCTCATTGCGCCTCGCTGGCAGTCTGAGGCAGAGCGGCTGCTGGAAGGCGCCCGGGACCTGGAGGAGTCCATAGGGGTGTCCCTCTCGGCCCGGCGATTCGAGGTGGGGAGGCTTGGGCTGGTGGGGAAGGGCGGAGGAGCGCCGGGCTGATTGTTACACATTCCCACGCAATGCTGCCCTTGGGTGCTCTCATCAGCGCCACCTAGACGAAACGTACAACCAGCCTGCCTCTTGCTGCGCCAGGTCAACCGGCTGGAACTCCTGCTGTCCATGGCGACCTTCTCGGCGGCGCTGGGGGCGCTCTTTGCTGGCATCTTTGGCATGAATCTGCGTAGTACCCTGGAGATGAGGTGGGTCTGGAGTGGCCAGCAGCGTGTGGCGTTGGTGGCCTGTTGAATGCTTCAGGATGCAGCAGGTCATCACACCGGAATGGACGGCCCGCTGTCACCCCCCATCTCTCAACCAACCTTTAACAGCGTGATTGGCTTCTGGGGCACCACAAGCCTCATCCTGGTGGGCTGCCTCGTGGTGTTCCTCCGGCTGCTGCGCTATACCCAGCGGAAGCGCATCCTTTGAGAGGGGTCCGTTCCGATCCGTGATGTCCGGGCTGACGTGGGCGCCCAACTTGATGTTGCGCAACCGGTGATTCCGCGAACAACATAAATGGCTTGCTGTACCACCAGAGATGTATCGATAGGATCCAGTCTCCGTAGCTCAGAAGCGGATCACAGCGGGGGTCGCCATGTCGTCGCCACCGCCCTTCCGTGCTCTGAAGGTGTGGCTGGACGACGACCTGGTTGGGCACATACAGCTGAATCGCCCGCATGCAGCCAATTCTATCGATACACACATGTGGACCGAGCTACCACAGGTATTTTGGGTGGGTTGCACCCGGATCGAGCATGCGATGGAGAACATATTGTCGTATGGTGGCAATTTGGGTCAGAACCCCTGATGCTATGACAATGAGCGACAGGGAGTACGAGTCGACGCGCGCCAACCCGCCCCCACCTGATCACAGGCCACCAAGTGGCTGGAGAAGGAGCATGCGCGCGTCATCCTGCTCACCGGCGCAGGGCGCAACTTCTGTGGCGGCATTGACCTGGCCAGCCTGGAAAACGGCGTCGGGCGCCGAGACCCGGCCTGCGCGGCCCGCACGGCCTTCGCCTTCCGGGAGGGGCTGGACACGCTGCAGAAGGGCATGACGGCCATGGAGAGCGTGCGCTGCCCCACCATCGCCCTGGTCCAGGGGGCTTGCTTCGGGGCGGGCGTGGACCTCATCACTGCCTGCGACATCCGATTCGCGACCGCAGACGCAAAGCTCTGCGTCAAAGTGAGGCTGGATGGGGATGTGGAATGTACGGTGTGCTCATGGCTGCCTTGTGGGTCGGATCGGCCTGCTGTCCTCTGAACTTGGTGACGCCGGGCGGCTGCAAACAGTCTCTCGATCACACGGCACCGCTGCCGGCCAAACAAGAGGCGCACCCCTTGCTGCATGCATGGAACACCCTGCTGTGGGCTTTCATGCAGGAAGTGGACCTGGCCGTCATCGCCGACATGGGAACCCTGCAGCGATTGCCGGGCATCGTCGGGCAGGGTGAGGGGCATCAGTCTGAGGAAGGCCAGAGCCTTGCAGGAAGCTCCCGTGTCGTTGCCCAGCTGGAGGCGCCTCGCATGACTGGGATTGACAACATACTCAACTTGTCCACCCGTGCCTCTTCTGACAGGCCGGGCGCGTGAGCTGGCGCTGACCGCTCGCCAGATCAGCGGGCTGGAGGCCGAAGGCATGGGCCTCGTCAGCGCTACGCTGGCAGACCCAGCAGCGCTGAGTCAGCACGGGCTGGCTGTCGCTCGCAGCATCGCCGCCAAGCCACCCGTGGCAGTCGCTGGCACCAAGCACGTGCTCCTGTACCAGCGGTGAGGGGTTTGATGAAGAGTGTATGTGGGGCCAGGCATTGTGCCTCTGGCCATGCCCTGCAGTCACAAGGGAGACTGAAGGCTGTGATCCCTGATCATTGCCAGGGGCATGTCCACTGCTTTGAGACAGCACGGCTCAAGTGAGAAAAGCTTTACTGGTGTGGGCCGCTTATGAGGTATTGCGCGCTTTAGGCTCCTCGGATACACTCGGACCCCTCTTCCCCCTTCCTGACACAGAGATCACAGCGTGGCAGACGGGCTGGACTATGTGTCGGCATGGAATGCCAGCATGCTCAACTCCTCCGACTTTGTCGAGGTGTTCTCTGCCGCCAAGGAGAAGCGGAAACCAGTGTTCAGCAAGCTTTAAGGACTGGCGCGCATGGGTAGGGGTGATGTAGCATCAGCGTAGATCCTTTAGCCGTTCGGGTTCAGCGCTGTGTAAGATTGGATTAGAAATTGGTATGTAAACCCCTTACGAACCGCAAGATCATAACAGCTGTCAGGAGACACGCGTGCAAACGCTTGGGAATGACCCACAAGCTTGACAACAAGTCGTTACACACAGTCAAGCAACCCGAAAATCACACGTCAGCCCCTCAGCACCTCTACTTCATGAGCGCCAACAGCCGCTGCTTTGCGGCCTGCCCCCACGACGGCTGCCGCTCTGCCAGCTCAGCATCCAGCGACTCAAAGGCCGCGAGGAGGATGAGCAGGTGGGCATGGACCCCGTGCCGAGCGGCGTGCGGGCTCAGGCGGAAGCTCCAGCCGCCGCAGGCGTGGGTGTCCAGGCGGGGCCGGAAGAGCCATAGGCGCGAAGACGGCAGCCAGGCACGCTGCGCCCTGGCCACGATGAGGGGGCGGGCCGGGCCGGACCCCGGCGCTGCCCCCGGCTCGACGGCCAGGCTGATGTGGCGCACCAGTGGGGTCGCCGTCTTGACGACTGCATGGGGTTTTGGGAAGGTGGCTTCCTGAGGGGGCATCGCGGCATGGACAATCTTGCGGCTCTCCCTGGCAATCATCCAGCGCAGCCCTATACCCTCCAAACCCTCACTCAGCCTGCACGTCCTCCCGCTTTCTCCCTCACACCTGTCAAGCAGTGCCGTCTGGCACCGTCTAGCACCGGAATGGCGGCAGGGCCCCAGCCAGGGGCAGACTCCATTCGACCCAGGGTCTGGCCCCCGCGGCCCCGCACTTCCAGCACCCACCGCCCGTCTGAGCCTGTGGTCCGGGTCCCACTCGCCACCTCTGCCCCGCTGGCGCCAACGTATTGCAGCCTAACCAGTGTGGTTCCTGGCACAGGGTGGGGCTTGGCCAGGGACTCGTCGGCGGGACCAGAGGCTGAGACAGCACTCCTGCCCAAAGTCTCGATGCCGCCGTTGCTGGCGCCCGATGGCAGATCGAGCGATGCCTGGGGCGCCTCACCCAGGAGCCCCATCGTCCCGCCCTCCACCCGGTCCACCGACGCCTGCTGGCTGAGCAGGGGACTTGAGTTATGGATGACGCGGCCCAGCAGGTGCCTGCCGTGCACGATGTGCAGGAGGTCGGGGGAGGCCTCGGGCCGGGAGCGCTCCTCCCCCTCAAACTCCTCGGGCAGCGTCAGGCCGCACATGTGGGCGGGGTCCAGTGCGGGCCCAAGCACAGCGACGTCCAGGGCGTCCCGCAGCTCCCTGGATCATTTGGAGGAAAGGGGGGCGGTAGATCTTTGCTTTTGGGGCGGATACCATTCCGGATGGGTTCGGTGGATGTCATTACGATCGGCAAGTCGGACAGGACTGGTCATGGAGTCCAAACCCCCCCCCCCGTTTCGCATTCCACCACATCCTCCATCCCCGACGGTGGCACCACGCACTCCAGGAAGTCGGCCCGCACTCTGTCCAGTGCCGTGGTGTGCCCATGCTGAGGTCTGCTGCCCCTTCCAGCCACAAAGTCATACAGCCATTCCAGATCGGGCCCAGGGGCCTTGGGGGCCCGCCTGCACGCGGGAATGAATGAAGGAGACATAACCTGCGAGCACCGCTCGATACAACTCCCATACTCAAAGACTGTATTCAACCAGGTTTTTTGCAGGTTTATGATGCGAATTTCAGCTGTCCAGGCCAGGAGAAACAGTCATTGGTGGTTGGGTCCCCACCAGTCTCTCTCTACACACACATACCTTGGTGTGCCGTCTCCAGCAAATCTATCATGTCGAGTGGGCCAGGCACGCACCGTCACCCTCATGGCTGCATCGTATCTTGCCCGTTCACGGGCATCGCTCAGCACCCTGTATGAGGTCAGGAGCTGAAGGAAGGCGGTGCGATCGGGGGGCAGCTCACCCCTCCTTGCCATGTCAGGGTGGAGGGCCAGAGCTTTCTGGGGTGCAGCAAGCATGGGGCGGGAGGAGTGTGGGCAGGGAGTGTTGAGGGTAGTTGAGGTATTCCTGAGTGGTGAAAGCGATCTGGCACAGCCAGCATCGTATGGCTGGTCACCCAGCACCACATCACAGATCACTACTGCAGTCCCGCACCTCCCGGAACGCCTTCTTGACATCAGCCATGGAGGCATCCTGTCGGACACCCAGCCTCTCATAGTGACCGATGGTCGAGGCCACGCTGTACGCCTGAAGCCAACCTGGGCATGCTCTCGATGCCAAGCCCCCGGCCCGAAGCATGCTGCTGTGCGCCCATGAACGGGCAATTTTATCCACTTTGGAGCCGAAGACTCATCATCGAGCCGAAAGTGGCAAGATGCATGCGCATTAGCAATGTTTTTGTTCGTCACATTGCTCTTGCCTGCCTTGACATAGTGCTCGATGAACGCTGATCTCGCCGTGGCATTCTTGGGTCTTGCGGACGATGACATGAGCAGAATTGGGACATTCTGATGCATCACATTCGCACTGAAATAATAGCAGTATGATTACCATCCTGCACTGAACCCTATGACAGTGCATATGGTTTGACGCTGGGCCAGTGATCTGGAGCTTCTTCGGCCAGCTGCTCCCGGTTACTCTGCCGCCATTCCAGTATATGCATGATTTCGTATCTATTTCATCCTGAGCCGCTTTGAGTCGAGGCTTCAGTGGAAGAGCATTTCGTGTCTCCGTCGTCCCGATGGCCACCAGTGAGGCGGACCCCGACACAGCTTTAGGCGACACCAGGTGCTACGCGCCTGCTCTAACCGCCTTGATGTTATCATGTAACCATCAAAATTCTCCCTGAAGATCACTCAAACCCCTCACAACTCATCCCTGCATCCACAGCGCATGCTCCTTGGATGTGGCAGCGGACCTAGCCGAGGCCGGCGATTTCCAGGGGGCCATCCCCATGCTGAGGGCTGCCACGCACAATCCCCACCCTGCCAAGGCCTGGGAGATGCTCTCCCAGTGCCTGACGGCCGTGGACGACCACATCGCGGCCCTGGACGCCGCGACCTCGGCCGTGGCGGCGGACCCCGGTTGGCACGTTACCCTCCGCACCCTGGGCCGGTGCCGGCTGAACCTGGGCGACCTGGAGGGGGCAGCCGCCGCGCTTTCCGCGGCATGTCGGGGCGCCGGGCCCAGCGGCGACGAGGAGAGCAGGGCCGACCTGGAGCACGTGGGCCGCCTGCTGCAGCGCAGAGTGGGCCACGCCATTGGCATCCCAGGCCTCGTGCTCGCGAATACAGCTGGGGAAGGGCCGTCCGGCCTCGTCTGGGACGCGGGGCGGGTGCTGGCCGCCTGGCTCGTGCAGGCCTACGCCCCTTGGGTAGAAAGGGCCGGCGCTGCCGGGGCGGGGTGCGGGCCGGGGGGCTGCCGCCTCGACGAGATCCTGCACTGCTGCAGGCGAGAGAAGCAGGGCACGCTCAGACCTGGATGTGGAGTCGGCTGCGATGCGTCCTTGTGCGGCGATCCGTCTGCCTCAGGCCATACGCACCGCTGCAGGGTGTCAGAACGCAGCGACCCGGCTGACTCCGACCATGCGCCGAAGACTGTGGTCCCAAACTGCACACCTACCTCCCCCAGGAACGCAGCAAATTTACTCCAGCATGTCACCCTGCTGGAGCTGGGGTCCGGGACAGGGGTGGTGGGCCTGTCGGCCGCATGCCTCGGCGCCCGCGTGACGCTAACGGACCTCCCCGAGGCGGCCGCCGCCCTGCGCGCCAATGCAGCCGCCAACAGGGCGCTGGTCGAGCGCGGGGGCGGCAGCGTGGCGGTACGGCCCCTGGCCTGGCAGGAGGCAGAGGGCTCTGCTGTGGCTGCGGAAGGCTACGACCTGGTCCTGGGGGCGGACCTTGTGTACAACGACGCCGGACTTGGGGCTCTCGAGGCGGCGCTGAGGGCGCTGTTCTGCGGCGGGCCGCGGGAGCGCCGCCCGAGCGCCTTCCTGTACGCTCACAAAGCGCGGCATCCTGGCCTGGATGCCGGGCTGGTGCGCATGCTGGACGGGGTGGGGCTGTGGCACGAGGTCCTGGCGCGGCAGCCCCAGGACAAGGTCACCATCTACCTGTGCACCGAATGTGCCGTCGTGGACGATGCGAGCTTGGAGGGCGCGACGAGACTCGGATGCCTTTTATTTCAGCGCTCCAAGCGTACTGTGTCCCCGTTGAGGGCCAGCTGAAATTGTAGGAACTATATTTTCACAGTTCGATGTATTTACACATGGCATAGTCGTGGTGCTCCTGTCTTCAGCGGCGCGCCCGGCCCCCGGAGATCACTTCCCGGAATCTGGGGTGCCAATCATGGCACACAAGATCCTGGGCAACTACGGCGCGGCTCGAGAGGTAAAGGGCATGCATGGACGCATGTGTTAATGCCGCTTCCGTCGGCATCAAGCGTCAACCCACGAACCCCCTCCCCCCAAGTAAACCAGGGTGCATACTTCAAGTCGGAGCAAGAGGCGGAGCTTCAGCGGCACAGGGACAGGCTGGTCCGAGAAGGAGCAATAGACAAGGCCGTGCCCAGGAGCGACCCCAAGAGTGTCTCAGAGAGCCTTCATGCCTACGAGGCAAGTTCTGGAGAAGGAGAGTGGCAGGCAATAATCTGTGGAGGGGAATGAGGCTCTCGGCGGTGCAGACACCCTCATTGTAATCATCGCCCCCCCCC